TTTTTAATATGCTGCTAGATTCGGTTTGCTAATGTTTTGTCAAGAATTTTTGCATCTGTGTTAATCAGGGATATTGGCTTATAGTTTTTTTGTTGCTGTTGTGTCCTTGTCTGGTTTTGGTGTCTGAGTAATGCTGACCTCATGGAATGAGTATGGAAGAGTTCCCTGTTTTTCAGTTTTCTGGAAGAGCTTGAGAAGAATTGGTATTAATTCTTTAAATCCTTGGTAGAATTCAGCAGTGGAGCCATGTGCTCCTGTGCTTTTCTTTAATGGGAGACTTTTTATTAATGATTCAGCATTGTTATAATTGGTCTGTTCAGGTTTTCTATTTCTTCTCGGTTCAGTCTTGGCAGATTTTACATGTCAAGGAATTTATCCATTTCCTCTAGGTTTTCCAATTTGGCATGTAATTGTTCATAATAATCTCTAATGATCCTTTGTATTTCTGTAGTATCAGCTGTGATGTTTCCTTTTTCATTTCTGAATTTGAACCCTTTATTTTCTTTTTCCCTTGGTTAATCTAGCTAATGGCTTGTTGATTTTATCTTTTCAAAAAACCAACATTTTGTTTTGTTGATCTTTTGTATGTTGTTTTTTGTCTCACTTTTGTTCATTTCTGCTCTGATGTTTATTATTTCTTTCCTTCTCCTAATTTTGGGTTTGGTTTGTTCTTGCTTTTCTGGTTCCTTAAGCTGCATTGTTAGACTCTTTATTTGAAATCTTTCTAATTTTTTGATGTAGGTGTTTATTGCTACAAACTTTCCTCTTGATAGTATCCCATAAGTTTTGGTATGTGTTCTTTTTTCATTTATTTCAAGAAATTATTTAATTTCCTTCTTAATTTCTTCTTTGGCCCATTGGTTATTCAGGAGCATTTTGTTTAATCTCCATGTATTTTTACAATGTTAAGAGTTTTTCTTACTATTGATTTTTAGTTTTACCCATTGTGGTCAGAAAAGATACTTGAAATTGTGTCAGTTTTTAAAAAATTGTTCAGAGTTGTTTTGTAGCCTAACATATGGTCTGTCCTGGAGAATGTTCCATGTGCTGATGAGAAGAATGTGTATTCTCCAGACATTGGGTGGAATGTTCTATAAATGTTTGTAACATCAGTTTGGTCTATAGGGCAGTTTAAATCCAATATATCTTTGTTGATTTTCTGTCTAGATGATTTGTCCTGCTGAGAGGAGTGTTGAAGTCCCCAACTATTATTGTACTGGAGTCTCTCTCCTTTTAGATCTAATATTTGTTTTATATATCTGGGTGTTCCAATGCTTCTGAATTGATCCCATGGAATTGTCTATCTGTATTCTCTTGAGTTTTCTTAAGATCATTAGTTTGAATTCCTTTTCTGGCATATCACCAATTTCCTTTTTCTTTGAGGTCTGTCATTAGCATGTGATTGTGTTCCTTTGGTGGCGTCACGTTTCCTTACTTTTTCATGTTTCTTGTGCCTCTGCATTGATGTGTGTGTGTGTGTCTGGTGAAACAATTGCTTCCTCTAAATTTTTACTAAATGACTTTCATAGGCAAGAGTCTTTCACCTCCAGTTGGGTCTTAGTGTGCTAGTTGAAAAGCATATAGTGATTCTGTTGTGTAGATGCAGTGGTAGTCTCTGGGCAGGTTCTTCTGTTAATGATCAATGTCACCAATAACTGTGGGTGTCTCAGTGCCCTAGACTGTAAATGTTTGTGCTGGTGGCAACGGCAGCATAGGTTATTAAGGTCTTTGGTGGCAAGGGCTTTTGGAGTCCTCCTATTCTCATTTTTTCCACTATGGGGCCACTTTGCCAAGAGGATTTCTCTTGGGTTCAGGTCTGACCCGACCTTCAAGCAGCTGCAGTAGTACTGGGTTCCAGGTGCAGGTGCTCCAGCAGCTGCAGAGTTGGGATCCTGGGCTGTGTCTCAAGAACGTTTTGTGGTACTTAGGTCTTGGGGTGCAGTGTAACTCTGTGAGAGGGTTGGATGTCATTTGCCCACAATAAGATCTGTGGCTCTGAGGACCCACTGACAGCTCAAACTATGTGGGCTGACTTATAGCTGTGACTCTGACCCTGGGGGGAAGAATACAGCACTGGTGCAACTTGGGGAGAAGGGTTGCTCTGGAGGTTTGGGCCCAAGGAGCAGAGTATGGCTGCAATTCAGGAAGCAGAGCAAGTGGGGCTCAGTTGTTGCTCAGTTCCCAGGGGATGAAGCACCATGTAGTGCTGTCTCTAGCCCCTGGAATGGTGGAACATGGCAATATCTCAGTCTCTGTGAGACTAGCTGCAGTAGCAGCAAGGACCCAGAATGGCGAGGCATACTTGTTTTTTGAACCTTGAGGGCCAGAACGCAGCACAGCACAGACACCAGGGAAAGGGTATCTCAGCAGCTCAGTCCCTAGGGTAGTAGTCCAGCTTCAGGGAAGCACAGTACTAGAGCTGTTCAGTCCCCAGGGAAGGGTGTCTCAGCTCAGGTAGTGCTATTTTCCTCGGACACAAGGTAGTAGGTCACCCCTGCCCTGGGATGCATAGCTGCTCAGCCCAGCCAAGCAGCTTCTTGCCCCCGCAGCTTCTCAGCCAAGGCAGCAATTCCTGAGAGGGTGATGCTCAGTCCCAGGGGAATGGGGCACAACCACAACTGGGAGGGATAAAGATTCCCCAAGAGGGCATGTGCAGTTCTGCTACTGCAGTTCCAGTGTGAGGGACAAACAAACCTAATTCATAGTGACTAATTGTAGATTATTAATGTGCTGTTCTGGAACTTGGTAAATAATACCTTGTAGAGGATTCTGCCTTAAAAAGAAATTATACTTTACTGTTTGTGCTCTACTGTTTACTGGCAAAGCAACTTTGGATATTCTCTATTGACCTGCGTTATCAGATTATGTTTTGAGGTTTTCTGGGGACCCAATAAATAATACCTGTTTTTCCAGCCCATGTTTTAGAGCCAATTGAGATACACAAAGGGAGTAAGGTGGGTGGATATAAAAATATCAGTTTTATTACTGATAATATACTGCAATTGAAGACTGTGGCCAGATATTCCAAAACCTCCTATGATTGTACCTTATAGAGAAAAGCTTCTCTTTGAAGGAAAAAAAAAAAATATTAAAGTCATGGCTATTTTTTTAAATGAGGTTTATTGTGTATTTATTAAGAGAAAAATAATATTTAGAAAAAACTTTTTTATTCAGTAAAATTTTTGATATTTCTTTCATCTTGAAAAGAAACTTTACAAAAAAGATATAAAAAATAATTGAGATATGTCAGTATAATACAGAGCAGTGTTCAATTCCCCTTCCTTTTTTTTTTGCTGGCATAGGGATCCAAACCCTTGACCTTGGGGTGATGACACCACGCTGTAACCAGCTGAGCTAACCAGCCAGCCCCAACGCTCCTTCCTTGATGAAGTACATATTTCTGAAATCCAAAAATACAGAATCTTTTAGGCAGAAAGTATATTTTGTCTGATTATAATTTTGGAAGTCAAAATGGTTTGGTGAGTTTTTTGAACTGGCATATCCCTGCCATCCTGTTTAATGGGAGAAAATATTAAGCTGCCTCACTTCTTGACCTTCAGATGTTTTTCTTTGTTTCCTTATACTGAAATACCTTATACTACTCTGTTGGACTTCTGTCTCCAACCTATGACTTTTTTTTCTGACAGAAATAAACACATTGAATCATAATCCAGTATAACAAATGTTTACATATACAAGGAGAAGTGCCAAATAGAGGAGTATAGAGAGTGTGACAGGAACACACAGGAATGACTAGCTACCTAGGAGAATTAAGGGGGTTTTCACAGAGAGGGTGACAGTTGAGGTGATATGGAAAGACGTATAGCTGACCACCATGAAGGGAAAGAAGGAAACATTCCAGGCTGAAAGAACGACTTATACAAAATATAAAATTACATGATATATTCCATATGCCTTTATTGTCTTTTAGAAAACTTTTTTTTTTTTAGTTTAGAAGAGTGAATTTTTTTATTGTGGTAAAATTTCATAACATGAAATTTACCATTGTAACCATTTTTAAGTGTACTGTTCAGTGGCATTAAGTACATTCACATTTTTGTGCAGCCATCACCACCGTCCATCTCCAGAACGTTTTCATCTCCCTGTACTGAAACTCCGTGCCCGTTGAACGCTAACTCCCTGCTCCCTCATTCCCCATTCCCCAGCCCTTGGTAACCTCTATTCTACTTTCTGTCTCTATGAATTTGCCTCTTCTAGGTACCTCATGTAAGTGGAATCATATGATATTTGTCATGCAGTGGTTAATACATACTCGTAAGTAATTATGCTAAGGGAAATATTTGGCTTATTTCACTTCGCATAATGTTTTCAAGTTTCATTCATGTTATAGTATGTACCGGAATTTTATTTCTTTTTATGACTAATATTCCATTGTTTTGCATCCTGCCACATTTTGTTTGTTTATTCATCCATCCATAGACGTTTTGGTTGTTTCCATCTTTTGATTATTGTGAATAATACTGTTAATGAACATTGGTACACAAGTATCTTTTTGAGTTCCTTCTCACAAGTCTTGGGTATGTACTTAAAAGTAGAATTGCTGTATCATAAGGTAATTCTTATGTAACTTTTTGAGGAGCCAGCAGTTTTCCACAGTGGCTACACCATTTTCCTTTCCCAGCAGCAATGCAGAAGGGTTCCAATGACTCCACATCCTTGCCAACATTGTCTTTCAATGTTTTGAAAAAATTTACAAACAATATAATAGTTCCATGAGAACCATGGGAAATACATTCATATTGTCATTATATTAAAAACAGCCTTTTGGTGCCTAGTGTAAGAAAACATTTTCATAAGCCAGCATCAGAGAATATTGATGTTTGTCTTACTGTTTGTGCAGTAGAGTGTATTCATGGAAAGGCCTTTCAGGTAAGAAATTACTGTAATAAAGTCAAATTCTTATGTGTAAAATAAATCAGGATGGGTTCATAATCTGTATGTCTCTTTTCTTAGCAACACAGATTTCTCTTTTCCTACAGCTCCCTGCACAGGCAGCACTTTCTTTTGTCATAGCAACATGTGCATCAATAATTCTTTAGTCTGTAATGGCGTTCAAAACTGTGCATACCCTTGGGATGAAAATCATTGTAAAGGTGAGTTTGGTGTAAAGGCCAACCTTTTTGAAAAAAGAGTGGCTGTTGCCTTTCATGAAGAAAGATTTGAAATGTCCTTTTCTACAACTGTGCTTATTAGCATTAGCTGCTTTGATAGAAGTGGAGGTATATAATATGAGTGTTCTTTTAAATCGATCATAGACCTCTGGGATGTGGTAAAAGCAAAGAAAAATACTTATTCTCTACAAAAGCATTTTTTGAAGCTGTTTTTTATCTTAAGTGGTTCAAAAGTGAACAACTTAAGTTCACGTAAGTGAAGAGTTGTGATATTTCCTGCTCTAATTTCATTTTCTAATTGTTGTCAAAGTTTGCCATTTGTATTGTAAAGATACCTTATTTAGCTGTCAAAATAATATAGAAGGAGCATGGATTGAGTACTGTTCTATTTTAAATTGCAGTCTATGGAAACGCTATTTTAAAAAAAATCAACTAACGTATTCAATCTTATGACATAGAAGCAGACCCATTCTAACGACAGCTTTTTTTAATTTTATAAAATTTTCTATGCTGTATTTCCAGTGGGCACTCTCTGAAAGATAAATGTGGCTCGTGGTAATAGTTGAATGTCTACAAGCTGGTTGTCAATCACTGTCTCAGAACTAAAATTTATCTACCTTTATCCTCTAAGAGTTCAATAAATATCTCACTATGAAAAGGTGATGTAATCTGATATGGCTGTCTTAAGTACTAGACATGAAATATTTTCAGGTAATCATTCGAAAATAGTAGACCGTGATTATATACCTGGGTAGGTTAGTCTCTCTTGTTAGATCTCTCTTCCTGATGGCCATCAGTAGAAATATAGTGAATATACTTAAACTGGCAGTTGGTCAAGCCTACCATACAGCAGAAAGCCGAAATTGACAGAACAAGAGTATTTGTTTTGGCATTTTCTATATTTTTGTATTTAATTTGATTTGTGAATTGTATGCATTCATGTATCTTCTGACTAAAGGAACCAAGTACTTTATTTTTTCTATAATCTATCTAGCTATATATAGTGATTGGTTACTTTAGCCAGAAGTCATAATAATAGGACTGTTTTATTTGTTTAGAAACCTAATTTTAAATTGCATTGTCTGTGGTATATTTGACCCAAGTGTTCTGCTTTACCTGAAAGTACCTTACTGATTTGTGCCAGGACTTGTATAAATAGATTTTAAAAGCCTCAACATTGCTTTTTCTCTTTCTACAGAAAAGAAAAAAGCAGGACTATTTGAACAAATCACTAAAACTCATGGAACAATTATTGGCATTACATCAGGGATTGTCTTGGTCCTTCTCATTATTTCTATTCTAGTACAAGTGAAACAGCCTCGGAAAAAGGTCATGGCTTGCAAAACGGCTTTTAATAAAACTGGCTTCCAAGAAGTGTTTGATCCTCCTCATTACGAGCTGTTTTCACTAAGAGACAAAGAGATGTCCGCAGACCTGGCAGACTTGTCGGAAGAACTGGACAGCTACCAGAAGATGCGGCGCTCGTCCACTGCCTCCCGGTGCATTCACGACCATCACTGTGGGTCGCAGGCAGCCAGTGTCAAACAAAGCAGGACCAACCTCAGCTCCATGGAACTTCCTTTCCGAAATGACTTTGCACAACCACAGCCAATGAAGACATTTAACAGCACCTTCAAAAAAAGTAGCTACACTTTCAAACAGGGACACGAGTGCCCTGAACAGGCACTAGAAGACAGAGTAATGGAGGAGATTCCTTGTGAAATTTATGTCAGGGGGCGAGAAGATTCTGCACAAGCATCCATATCCATCGACTTTTAATCTTCTACTAAAGGTGACGCGAATTATTAAGTATGTGTTGTGCAGCCTACAGAGCACCCACACTATTTTCAGCAGCCAGCCCTTTCTCCTATCAAAACAAGGAAGACCTTTATTTACTGTTAAGTGATATTTTTATTATCTCAGGCAGTCTATATATGTTAAACCAACCAAGAAACTTAGTAGATTCAGTGAAAAAAATAATCATCATTTATTGCTCAGTGTCATATAAACAAAGCACTACCAGTTCGATAACATTTGAAGAGGGGAGAGGTTGTATTGAGCCAGACTCGGGCTGCCTGTTAGTTTTAGCAAAAGGAATACTGCTCTTGACTGATACAGCTCTGTCAATATTTTGGTCTCCCAATAAATTTAAAAATAAGATTTTTCATTATATTCTTATTTTTCTTTTCTCTAAATTTAATTTGTTTTATAAACCTGTAGTTTTACCATTTTATCTTAAGTAAATATAAGTGGTTAATGTAGCACATATGTCCATACAGGCATGTGTTCGTGAATGTGTCAAAGTATAGCTAGTTACTGTGCCAGTTAAGACCCAGAGTTATGTTTCATCCATCTGTTCTTCTTGACTAATTTCTATATTTCTGCCTTTTAACTACTAGATCTTTAGTCCTTATTTTCTGTGAGAAATAGTAGACGATATGATTTATCACCTTTAAGTCATATTTTGTCTTAGTTATGTTATACCAGAAAATTTCATAATCCTGAGATGTATGCACCATTGCCAGACTAATTATTATGACTAAAAATTTAAGAAACATAAAAACTTCTAGCAAGCCTTTAAAATTTCCCGAATATGGTCACATTCAGTGACAGCCTTTTCATTAGTAAACGGTCATTTAATTCACTTTTGGGGAGACCTGTAATTATGTTTATTTGCAACATTTCTCATAACTAGATCTATGTTTCCTGTTATTTTTGTAAAAGATTACTTAGGTCCCTTTGTATTGGTTTATCTTATGGCATATGGTAACCAGGGTTGTATAAGAGTTAAAGAGAAATTCCTAAGAAACTGTATAGGCCTTTAGATTGCTTCTTACTTGGGACAGTACATTTTTCTAGTTCTTATCAAGAATAACAATTTCCACTTTTTTTTAAACTGCACTTTTGACCTTATTTTTTTTTATGGTATATGAATCAATAATTTATAAACATGATATAAAAACTCATTGTGTTTTTTTAGACTTTTGATATTATTTGATACTGTACAAACTTTATTAAATCAAGATTAGACCTACATGACAGATTTCTTTCAGTGTTCACATTAGCGACTTTGTGTACAAATATGCTGTGATAGAACTGTACACTGTAACTTATTGTAAAGACCTTGGTAATGTGTACCTATGCCTTTTCTTTCCTTTTGTTATATTTTGTTTGTGATAAATTTCTCACTCTGTGATATTTATTGCTCTAAATCACTACACAAATCCTATATTAAAATGTACATTGTTATCCATGATCCTTCAATCATATTATTTATGGCACTGAGATTTTGGATCTTAAGATACCTATGGAAAAGAATCTGTTTATCGATTTATAACTAATATAGACATGTCATTTAGAAGAGGTAAATTCTCATTTTCTATATTTTTTGTAGTAAATTCTCAGTGAAATGAGAAGTTGAAGTTTCAATGGATTTCATTAACTTTTTAAAATATTTCATGGATATGTTCTGTCAGATTAGTGAAAACTGTGACCTTAAATATGGTACATATATGTAGTACTGCCTCAAAATATTTCTTATATCACATTTTTTATTTTTAAAAAAGCAGATAATATCTAGGATATAGGAAATCAAACACATAGTATACTCATGAGTTCAGTTTTTTTTTAAGTCAGCACAATTTCCTGCTTTAAAAATACAGCTTGGAAAGGTCAAGAGACATAATTAATATAGCATTCAATGAACTAATACTAGAGACAAATAGCTCAATTCTTTCAATAGCTATGTTGAATAGGCATTTTAGTAGGTAACTTAAGCCAGCCAACATTTCAACAGCATAGTGAATACTTAATGTAACAGCAACTATGATGTCATTCTTCAGGATGATGAAAGGGGAAAATTATTTTTTTTTTCTTTTTTTGGGGGGGAGGGGTGGCTGGCTGTATGGGATTCTTGACTTTGGTGTTACCAGGACCACTCTCCAGCCAAGTGAACTAACCAGCCAGCCCAAATTAGCATATTTTCTATGTAAAATTAGAAGTTATATTTGTCATAAAAGTGGCTGTCAAAGCTTTCTTTAGCCTCTAGGTTATAGTAGAAAATAATAAAATATGCTTAACCACATTATCTATAGTCACTTGTAACTACATTTTTATTTTCGAAATTGTATGGTTTTCTTTTAAAAGGTCTTGACAAGGCCTACAAAATACAGAGCCCTTAAAGAAGACATTTAACATTAAAACATTACAGAAGTACGTGATTTCATGCAACTCAGCAAGTAAAGCTTGAACAATAAATTTGGTTCTCAATTTTCTGGCTGCTAAAGGGAATAAAAGTTTTCACTTTCCATAGTAGAAAACACAAACTTATCTGCAGAGGCTAGTTTTCTCTTGAACTACAGTATGAGAGTCTTCATAAAGGGGCATTTCCTCAGAATTTAAAAAAGGTGCAAAATGCAGAGAGAGTTCATAATGGTAAATCTTAACCCCATGAAAGCACAATTTAGTGTAGTCTAGAACACTGGTTTCTGATCATTCTATTTGCAGGCATGGAACTAAAGAACCAAATGATCAATCGCTAAGCCAGCCTTAGACTGCCATGGGTTGTACACCTTCATTGGACTATAGAAAGGTATTAGGTCTCATTAATTTCTTAGTCAAACACTTTGTCCATACTATAGGAAGAGAAGAGAACGGAACTAATAAATTTTAGGCATTATTACCAGAATAATGCTAATTGCTGTAGATATAATCTTCAATCTTTGATGTCGGAGAGAAAATTTTACAAATTGTTTACTAAAGTGAAAGCCATAAGTTTCAATAATAGAAGACATGAAATGTAGCCATCTTGTTGGAAGTTATTACACAGTTAATACACAAGGTGTCCTATAAAAGTACCCAGTGTTAAACATATCTTCTAACAGAAAGTGCACGTCTGCAGGGGGTAAATATCTTCGATTCAGCAATAGCACTAAGTAAACCTCTGTGATATTGTCATCATTATCTTCCATCCCAAATTTAACACAAAATATGATAAATTGCAGGAAATCTACTATTCCCAACGTCTAAATATACGAAGACTAAAGTGTAATATTCCTTTTGTGAAGGAAAATATTCAATCCAAAGGTTTAACACAAGCAAAGGATTTTCACATTTCACATCACAAAGATTTTAAAAGCTCCTTTAACAGCTTTAATTTAACAACTCTATCTCACTGTTTTTGTCATGTTTCATATAATTATTAGGCATTAAAAGAACCTCCTAAATGTCCGCCTCTAAGCGTTTTTATAGTTCTGCTATTGTCTGATGAGAAGGCTACTTTCTTATTTTGGCGGTGTGTCAACTGATGAGCCAGGATGGGAAAAACCCGTTTATAATTGCAGGAATAATTCTCAATCAAAGGAGGTTATGCTGTCATGCAAAATGATGTGTGCTATATTGCAAGTACTGAAAATAGTATGCCTTGAATCACACTGAGTAGATCCAGAAGGAACTTTTGAGTTATTGGTGTTTTTATAGATCCAAGAAAGATTATCTGGTTCAACTTTGTTAGTGAGAAGACTGAAGCCCGAAGAAATGAAGTACCCATGTCTCAAAACGCCTAGCCCAGTGCTCACTCTGTTTTCTGCTGTCTCAGCTTTTGTCAGCTATAAGTTTGAAGACTGAAGCCCGAAGAAATGAAGTACCCATGTCTCAGAACGCCTAGCCCAGTGCTCACTCTGTTTTCTGCTGTCTCAGCTTTTGTCAGCTATAAGTTTTAAAAGCCTAGCAGTTCTACGCAGCAGCCCAGGTGTTCCATGTAAGCTTGTCAACCATTCTGATTTAAAATGTAATTTATTCTAGAGTAGATTTTTCAAAGCATTATATTTCACCTTTTTAAAATTTATGTATGTAACACCGTGTTATTCTACATCTCTGTTGCCATGATTCCTTGGCACCTGCAAACTCTGCAAGACACTTACTTTGAATTCTTAATAAAAAGTGTTTTTTAGCAATATACAGATGTGATACTAGACAGAGCTTCATTGTTTTTGCTTTTGTGATCATTTTTGAATCTAAAGGAAACAATGTATACTCTAGAAATTAAAACATTTGTGTGCTATATCTCTTGAATTTTACAGAATGGTTTGAGTTCTGAGCCACTATAAGTGACAAGTTGACCTTGGATATCTTTTTTAACTTCCTGCAAAATCAGTTATGTACGTTTCATAGGCCTCTACTAATAACAATTCAAAATCCTGAAT